ACCCCTCAGGCCAGCTCCCCCTGTCTCCCACCAACCCCTCAGGCCAGCTCCGCCCACTGCTCCCAGAGCCGCCCAGCACCTGCTCTGGGCAGGAAGGGCAGCCAGCTGCCCTTATCAGCCTGGCTGTCCTCTGGGCTCAGATGCCCTGCTGGGGAGGAGCCAGGTTTCGGTGGTGAGTCACCGGTGAGCAGCAGGGGCCCAGGGTGGGGTCCTGAGCCAGGCTGGGGGGCGCTGGGTAAGGCTCTCCACGCTGAGGGGGTCCGTCTGCCGTCCATGCCCAGAGAACAGGGGCAAGCGAGGCCGAGAGGGCACCCGGGATGGGCACCCGCGCTGGCCTCTGGGCAAGTGTGCTGGTGACCGGACCACGCCTCCCTCATCAGGCAGGGCGGAGGGGCAGCTCGGCCCAAAGATGGCGCAGGACTGCCTGTTGCGTTCAGTGTCCTGGAACTGTGACTCTCGCGCCTGGGAGCACATGCTCGCGACACAGTGAGCAACGTGACAAACAGACGGCCTCCACGGCAGACTGGTCACCCCTACGCCTCCCCTCAGCCCGACTTCGCAGACCACCACCCTTCTCAGTAAAATCAGGGGATACTTTTGATGACAACAATAACAGTGACTATTACTGCAGCACACCCCAAGTGCCGTGTCTGGGTTAGGACAGGCCCCTCTGGGCCCGCGCTGTTTCATGGAGGGGTGGGGCCCCCGCCCCTTCTTCTCGGGGTGCTGCTGGGCGCCCAGAGCTGCTGCTGGGTAAGCTGAGCGTAGAGGCAGGAGGGGGCCTCTCTCCAGGGCAACGTCTTGGTGCGAGGATGTCTGCTGGAAGCAGCAGGCGGGCGGCCAGGTGCGCACAACCGGCCAGGCCACCTTGACAGGACGTGTTACAGGGACGGGGGGGGGGGGGGGGGGCTTACAGCCCTCAGTCCCCTGCACCCCCGGCTTGGGCCAGACTATTCTGCACCCCCAGGCCACAGCCCATGCACAGGCCTCACGGATCCCTCCAGGGACTCTCCGCTCCCCAATCTGACCCCAGTAAATGTGAGAGGCCCGGAAGGAGTCCCTGCATCTCCGAGGGGTGCGCCCTCGAGCCTCTCTACTGGGACTGAGTTGGCCTTCCTCTGACCCCTCCTCTGACCCCCTCTCCGTTCCTCTGACCCCTCCTCTGACCCCCTCCCCTCTTCCCAGTGCTGTGCCCGTGAGGCACCGGGGGAGGTGAGAGGAGTGTGAGCCCCTCCTGGCGGAAGGGGAGCCGGCCGGTGCCGCTGCCGAGCAAGGCTGTTGACAGGCTCCACGTACTGGGGTCGATAAAAGAGCTCTGTGTTCTGCTGGTAGCAGAATCAGGGCGTGGGGGGTCCCCCTGAGCAGGACGGTCAGCTCACGGCGCCCCTGATGGCGCAGCCGCCACTGTGCAAACAGGCTTCTTAACGTAAGCAGGGTTTGAACATGGAAGTGTCCCTAATCCGAAGAGGAAGCAGCGAGAACAACGCTGGCCCTTTGTGCAACGCGTCCCACAAAGCAGACCATTGTTTCGGCCGCACAGGGGCCCATTCACTCAGAAAACCGGCGGGTGCCTGCGAGGTGCCAGGCACTGCCCCAGGCCCCGGGGTCCCGTTAGCCACGGCCCACGCCAAGCACGCCCGGGGCTCCCTGACGGCGGGAGCAGATCTCGCGGGTCCCCCCGACGCGCCCGCACACTCACAGACTCGGGCTGTGGGCTATCCGTGCCCCGGAGTCTGGGGTGGGCCAGGAACTTGAGGTCCCCCCACCCCGCCAAGCCCGCGCCACTGGTCTGAGAATCCTTCGAGAAGCATCGCCAGCAGCGGCACGTGTCTACGCAGACGGGGCTGGGGGAGGCTCAGGTCTCCGCCTGGTGGGGTGTGTCAGGCAGGGTGACTGAGAAAGCTACCTGGCGCAGCCCGAGC